ATCATTGTCCTTCTCACTGAGGGCTTGTTCACAGCGCCATAGGCGGGCGAGTTCCACCGCTTCATGGAAGTGCTGGAGCTCCGCCTCCTCAGTGACCCGGGATTCGGCCATAGAGGGGGCAGTGTAGGTATTTGAAGGCACTACCAGGTGACTACCTGCTAGCAGATTTTGTTCTTTCCTTTTAACCACTTGAGCTCCTGAGGATTTACCCCCCTTAATGACCAGGCCTCTTTTTGCTACTCGGCGCTGCACTAATTCAACTGATAATTGCGCGGTCATGCAATGCTGCACCCAAACGAAATTTACGTCCTTTTTTTCACACAAATAGAGCTTTCTTTCGGTGGTATTTGATCACCTGTGCGCTTTTTATTTTTCACGCTATAAACAAAAAAAATGCCCAAAATTTTGAAGAAAAACAATATTTTTTACTTTCAGCTATAAAAAATATATAATAAACTCAAAGTTGGTTATAAATTTAAGCCAAAATGTATTCTGCTACATGTTTTTGGTAAAAAAAAATCTCAATGAGTGTATATTGATTGCTTTGTGTGAAAGTTATAGCGTCTACAAACTATGGTATAGATACTGCAATTTACGCCATTTTTCTGCTATACAGCGCTGCGCTAGTTTAACGGACAATTGCGCGGTCATGCAATACGGTACATAAATTAAATTTACATCCTTTTTTTCCCCACAAATTGAGCTTTCTTTTGGTGGTATTTGATCGCCTGTGCGGTTTTTATTTTTTGCGCTATAAAAAAAAAAGTCTGACAATTTTGAGGAAAAAAAACAATATTTTGGACTTTTTGCTATAAAACATGTCCAGTAAAAAAAAATGCAAAAATCAAATTTAGTCATAAAATTCTGCCAAAATGCATTCTGCGACATGTCTTTGCTAAAAAAAAACCCCAATACGTGTAAATTAATTGGTTTACGTGAAAGTTATAGCGTTTACAAATGGCGGGAAAGATACTGGGATTTTTAGGTTTTTTTTTATACTAATAATGGCGGCGATCAGGGCCTTGTGGCGGCGATCAGGGACTTATGGCGGGACTGTGGCGGACATTCTGACAATGGGGGGGTACTGACTTGGGGTCACTGACATCCCCAAAAACACTAATACAGTGATCAGTGCAAAAAAAAAAAAAAAACCACTGACACTGTACTACAGGCAATGGGGAGGAAGGGGTTAACTTTATTTTGCAGGGAAGGGTTACAGGAGTGAGGGGAGTGTTTTACTAGGGGGCGGGGTGTGTACTGGACGGGACAAGGCTGATCAAGAAAGAGAAACTGTTTTTTCTCGATCAGCTCATCCTCGAGCTGACAGGGAAGTGACAGACAGCACAGCTACTGCAGCTGTGCTGTCTGTCACTGTTTCGTTGACGAACTCACAAACAGCCGCTAAGGACCGGCTGTGACTCGGGACTCACATCTGCGGCGGTGATCGGCGGGATAGATCGGGCGGTCGGCGGCGCGCCTCGCGCATGCCCCCTATTTGTTTACAAAACACACGTTTTAAAACGTGGTTTTGCCTGCGAGTGCCGCCCTGCCGCCGTATATCTACAGTGGCTGGGCGGCAAGTGGTTAACCGAACACATACACTGACCGGCCACTTTATTAGGTACACCTGTTCAATTGCTTGGTAACACAAATTGCTAATCATCCATTTACATGGCAGCAACTCCGTGCATTTAGGCATCTAGACGTGATGAAGACGACTTGCTGAGGTTCAAACCAAGCATCAGAATGGGGAAGAAAGGGGATTTAAGTGACTTTGAACCTGGCATGGTTGTTGGTATCAGAAGGGCTGGTCTGAGTATTTTAAAAAAAAAACTGCTCATGTACTGGGATTTTCACACACAGCCATCTCTAGAGTTTACAGAGAATTATCCGAAAAAGAGAAAATATCGAGTGAGCGGCAGTTGTGTGGATGAAAATGCCTTGTTGATGTCAGAGGAGAATGGGCAGATTGGTTCGAGATGATTAAAAGGCAACAGTAACACATGTCAATATGGACCAAAATCTGGGGAATGTTTCCAACACCTTGTTGAATCTCTGCCACGAAGAATTAAGGCAGTTCCGAAGGCAAACGGGGGTCCAACCTGGTACTAGCAAGGTGTTCCTAATAAAGTGGCCGGGGAGTATGTGCAGAAGCAGAAGGGTGGACTTTAATTCCCACACCCCATATATATGCATTATTTAGCAGCTGCTGTTTATGTGTTGAGAGTGCGCTCACTGCTTTCTTCCAGCACAGGCTGAGCTGTAGCAGCCAGCTCTCAGACCAGGCTACTGATCGGTAGCTGGTGGGATTGGCTTCCAATCATGTGACAGTCATCACAAGATCACTGATCCTTCCCACCCCCTGGGTATTCAAAACTATTTAACCGCCTCCCAACCGCCATATAAGGAAATGACGGGTGCAAGGCAGTTCTCTCATTCTGGGAGGATGTCATAAGACGTCCTTTCACTCTAACCGTGCGTGCGCTGGTGTGCTGTGTCCCTCGGACGCAGCGGATCAACGGAAAGAACCAAAGACGTCGGCTCTGTCATGTGATTAGCTGTGTCCATTCACAGCTGATCACATGTAAATAAGGAAATGCCGGTTATCGGCATTTCTCTCCTCGCGAGCTGTCATGCTGACAGCTCAAGAGGAGAGGAGAGCTGGTAATCGGCATTCCTCAGAGGGGACATGTACACTGATCATCAGGGCACTGATGATCAGTGTAGCCCCACCAGTGCCACCTGTCAGTGTCCACCAATGTCAGCTGTCAGTGCTCATCAATGCCACCTGCCAGTGCCCATTATTGCCACATATCAGTACCTACCAGTGCACATCAATGCCACATATCAGTGCCCATCTGAGCTGCCTTTCAGTGCCACCTATCAATGCCAGTCAGTGCCACCTATCAATGCCAGTCAGTGCCACCTTTCAGTGCCATATGAGTGCTGCCTTTCAGTGCCCATCAGTGATGCCTGTCAGTGCCCATCAGGGCCACCTATCAGTGCAGCCTATCCGTACCCATCAGTGCAGCCTCATTAGCACACATCAGCGAAGGAGAAAAATCACTTATTTACAAAATTTTATAACAAAAACTAAGAAAACTTTTTTTTTTTTTAATCAAAATTTTTTGTTTTTGGTTTGTTTAGCAAAAAATAAAAAACCCAGAGGTGATTAAATACCACCAAAAGAAAGCTCTATCTGTCTCAAAAAAATATTAAAAATTTCATGTGAGTACAGTGTTGCATGACCGTGCAATTGTCATTCAAAGTGCAACAGCGCTGAAAGCTGAAAATTGGCCTGGGCAGGAAGGGGTATAAGTGCCCTGTAGGCAAGAGGTTAAATTGATGCTGAGGTTGGCAGGGGTTAAATGACCAAGATCCTTCAAAGGTTCATTCATATAGATGTTTATTGTTTACACAGGATCTGGTATTAAGCATTCCTGTGTAAAAAGTTGTGCACATGTAACATTTATGCACATTTTACATGCGACCGATGTATGTGGACCCTGTTTTCCACAGCAGCTGCTCAGAGTTGACATGTAAATATCAACAATGTGCAGCCAGTGGCACCACCACTCATTACACACCGAAAGACCTCAGCTGATATGGAACAATTAAAGGCCCACGTCATTCTGCATGTACACCACTGCCACATGATTAACTTACTCAAAGGGAGATGTAAACCTCAATAGTGTGTAATAAGTAGCGGTGCTGTCGCTGCCAACACATTGATAATTACCCATCAGCACTGAGCCAGTTAGGGTCCATATAGGCTGAACTCCTGTTTACACGCATACAGCCTAAAATACGGCCCATATGTGTAAGTGCTTCTTAGCACCTCTTGTCAAGTTCTTGACCGTTCTGAGGTTAAATGTTAGCACTAAGCAAGAACTCGCATTGTGGCACAACAGAGAAAAGAGGCAGACAGTCGCACTAACGGGCAAAGTAAAACTCTCATTTTGGTGGCAAACCAACCCAAGGATCTATACTAAGGGTTTTGCGCACAAATTTTTCATGAATCGATCTGCGGCTTCTTCAAAGCCCAAATCTGGAAAAATGTAAATGATCTCATTAATTGCTTATTTTGTCTTACTCGATCCTCCACTACCCTGGCAGATGATGCTCTCCTATTCTCCAGTGATACTGTCCCTTGGCATTAACATGTCTGATGCGGGGCTATGGACAGTGCTTTAGTCTTGATGATGTCAGGATCCTAGATTGCTCAAGCATAGGGGAGAAGAGACTGTGGGGACAAGTCTAGCAGTGGGGAGGAGCTGTGGATCTGCTAAGTGAATCTTTCTTTTCTTCTAGACCTAAACAAATAAATAACCATTGCAGTGCGGACGCAGCCCCACTGCAAGGGATCATTTTTTAGTTGGGCTGTAATAGACTTCACCCTCTGACTCTATAAAATGTAATTCTTCAACCTTTTATATGGGTTTCTTTTTAGAAATCCAATATCTTGTGACAACCCAGAAAACATACTGGTTGGTTACCTGGCTTCCATCCAAACTGGCCATATTGGGTTTGTGCAGGACTGTGCCAGAGGCAGATGCCACCTGAAGAGGTTGAGCATTAAAGCATCGTACTATTAATTGTTGTTGTGCAGGCACCTGCATCATAACAACCAGGGATGTTCTGCAGCCTGGGGGCTGAACATGGACTGAGGACAGAGTGCCCACACCTTCCTCCATCAGTGTTGCTTCAGTTGGCTTCATGGGAAGCACTGCCCTAGATGTGTGTATGACTTGAGGTCTTCAGATTGTGAGCTTCTCTGGGGAACAAGGACTGATGTGAATGCTTCAGTGTTTCTCTGAATATCAATGTGATAAGTGAGTAAATTTTGTGTATTTAGATACATCATAATGTGATTGCACAGTGTTCTTTTATATTAACTTCATTATAAATAGTTGTGTATACATTTATGTTAGTCTATCCTTGTGGTTATATATGTAGGAAAAGAATGCACAAGTTGTAATCCCTTAATAAATTTCTCTTTAGAGCCTCGATCCTCTTCCAATGGATGGGCCAGATTTTGGAAATGTTAGCGATGACACCGATCTGGTAGAGGTGGAGCCTCAGAAAAGGCAAGAAATTTTAGAAAATAAAGATGTAAGTACAATTAAATATTTTTGTAAATGAACACTATGGTTTCAAAGGAAAGGAAAATATCATCTGAAACAGAAAACTATTTATTGCAACTCTATTACAAGGATAAACATTTGTAAACACAACCGTCCTGTAAAGAATAGATTTTTGCTCTCTTAATAAGCTGACATTTCTTTTTTTATATAATCTTTTATTTTTCTTCTTAGTAGTACAAGAAAATTCAACATACAAAAATGCTTAAAAACAAATTTTCATAGAATATAGACTGTAGCCTGGTCAGGCGTACACAAATCCACTGTACGTTAATGGAGTACAACCAAAAATAAATACACAAAATGTACAATAATGCAAGGATTCATAGTCTACCCACTACATACTTCTGATAACTTTTCAGTTGTAGGAAAAAAGTACTAAATTAAAGCCCACAAGTGATACAACTGATGGACGAAATTCCATAGGACTAAGTATAATAACAACATTAAAAACAACAAACAAAAGGGAGGGGGATGGGGTGGTCAATAAGTGACCAAAGCAACAGAGCTAAAAATCCATATAAAGTAAACATACCAGCTGAATCTTTCCGAAGGTTCTTTATCTTTATGGTTCAACGCATAAACGTCTGATGCCTGGACCCCTTCTGAGCCCTAATCCCTTGAATGAACACAGAAATGCTCAGTACTTTGCACTCTGTATTCATTCTTAATGGATGACATACTAAATGTTAGTCATGTGTCTATTACTGTATGTCTCCTTTGTGAATGAACACAAGAGTGCTCTGTCCTAAGCATTCCTGTGTTCATGACAAAGTGTCAGGCTACAAGGGAGAAGGAAAATTGAGGGCTCTTGACTTTAATCTCCTTTACTTTCTCAAAGGTGAAATATCACACCAGCAGGCTTGCATTATGGCGCATATAACGCACGTTCTGGTGTGCATTGTGTATATGTACTACACTGCTTACTTTTTGTTTTTAACTTTTTAAAATTGTAGTAATTCAACTATTGTGCACCAGCTTGTTGGGACATTTTGGCATGTATTGTAACATGCCTGATTGCGTTTAATGTATGCCTGCATAATTTTTATCATAGCGCACACACACAACACTGTGGATCAGGCATTATCACAATGCATACGTGTGAGGTCAAGCTCCAGATTTTTGCAAAAAGGCACAATTTAAAATTTAGTAGTACAGTAATACCTCGGTTTAAGAATTTAATTAGTTCTGCAGGATTTTTCTTATAGCAAAAAAATTCTTAAACCGAAACGCCGTTTCCCATAGCAATGCATTGAAAACCAATTAATCTGTTCCGGAGATCAGAAAAATGTAAACAACAATAAATACCGCATGAGTTATTTTATCAAGTCATGCTGCATTTTAGTAGTGACAACCATGTGTTAATATTTCAGCTGTCAGCGGGGTTCCCCACTGACAGCTGAATGTAAAAGAATTGACGGCAATTAAAAAAAATAATTTAAAAAACTGCGTGGGGTCCCCCTTTCCATCCATACCAAGCCCTTCGTGTCTGGTATGGATTTTGAGGGGAACTCCCACAACAAAATTTTAAACAAAATGGTGGGGGGGGGGGGGGGGGGGGGGTCCTCCCCAAAATCCATACCAGACCCTTTTCAGAGCATGCAGACTGGCAGGTCAGGAAAGGGGGGCAAACAATGTTTCTTAAAAGAAACAACATTTCCGTTAACTTTGGGGAAAGTGACAGCTAATTCTGTGAGCTATAGTGAAGAAAAAAAAAGAGCCAGCAATTGCATTTAAAAATCAGCACTGACATACACTTCGTATTGCAAAAAAAATTCATACAAAATTTGTAAACCGAGGCATTATTTTCAGTGGATTTTCATTTGTAAACCGAAAATTACTTTAACCGAGGCGTTCTTAAACCGAGGTATTACTGTATTTGTTATTTATTAATTCAATACCGTTTTATATTTAGTAAGAATTTAATTTGTTGTGTTTGTGTGTCCTAATAATGATTTTTTAATATTATTTTTATAAGCATTTGCACATCTGCCATGGTATATGCAAAATCGGTACATCATCTTTTGATGCTCTTGGTCCTATATTTTCCGGGTGTGTATTTTTTGGGGGACTTTTTCTGTAGAGTGGAAGAGCATGCATTCTTGCGCCTGACACCCTTAAAATTTGTTTGTCTACGCAGAGCAATATAGTGGAAACTCATATGTGAACTTGTCAGCCTTTTTAAGTGTTAAAGCATAACTTCACCAGAAAGGGAAGTTCTGCTCCCTCCTCCTCTCTCATCATTGTAAAATGTACCTATCTCTCACATGTACCTGCTGCCACTTCCAGAGCGGAAGTTCAGCCTCTCCCCGCCCTAATTTCCTGGGACACCTCACATGTCCCAGGAGACTGGTGGACCATTGACATCTCCTGCATGTGCAGTGGGAAGCTGGCTGTGAAACACCAGGAAGTCACAGCTGGCTTCCCACAAGCAAGGTAGTAACATCGGGGATGCAAAGACCGGCGAAGAACTAGCTCAAGTGGAGACAGTGCTAGAACCTTGTACTGGTAAGTGCCTGTATAAAGTTAGCAGCTACAGTAGTTGTAGCTGCTGACTTTTACATTTTTTATTTTTTTTGTTTTATAACTGACCGGATCTTCTCTTTTAGCCTCTGTAAAGCCTATTAAATGCTTTAACCAGAAAATGTTATTTCCACAATTGATAACATATTGTCTGTCTTTTTTTCAGGTTGTGGTGCAGCGTGTGCACTTTGAAGGTCTCGGAAGGACAAAGGATGACCTTATCATGCCTGAAATTTGTGATGTTTTTAAAGCAAAGAACCTGATTGAGGTAAGTATTCAGTTTTTAAAAACTTTTGGTGGGTTCCATTCACAGTAGTCAAATTTGGGTATTTTATTGTTAGAAAAGGTGAAAAAAAATTGGTGCATGCAAAGGCTAAACCCCAAGCATTTATGTCAGTAACTGCCTTAATAAACTCTAGGATTGGTGCAAGTGCAGCAAAATCATGCTTTCCAACTTTAAACTTTTATAAAAAGCAAAAAAGTGGGCATAGCTACACAGTGCTAAATATTGGGTATGGTTTACTAAGGTATGGTTAAATAGAAGCTGAGTCTGTGCACAGTAGGCAGTGCATGTATTTACCGCAGACCTACTACAGGGTTATTCAGTAAACAGTAACTGTTGAAATAGCACTTTGTTCAGGGATATATCAGGAGCAAAATACCCCCAGAATTGCTGTTCAGCAGTAAATTCAAAGTTTTATTTTAATAAATACCTTAATGTTCAGCTCTGATTCAGCTGTAATGATTTGCCATATGCAGCACCTGCCTGTTAGTGTTAGGAAGCAGAGGCTGCTCTCTCTCCAGCATTGTACCTACATCTCAGTCACTAGCATTTCTACACTTTTCCTGCCCTTCCTTCCTTACTGCTACTGTGTTGTCTCGTGATTATAAAAGCATAGTACACAGATGTCCTCAGGCAGGCTTTGTAATTAACAGCATAGGGAGTTGTCGATATAAAGCCAACAACATTTAATTGTAGCACAAAAGGAAGATTGTGCCACCCTTGGCACACCTGCAGGGGGTTGCGAACTCCTGGGTTAGAACCTTTGTTGATTTTTTTTTTTTTTTTTTTTTTTTATTTCTGTCCCGGCGGAGGAAATTCCGGCCCTTGTCCTGTTAACCATTCTCACCAAAAAGAGAGAGATGGGAAATCCAAAATGTTGTCACTTCTTGTTCAAGGAAGAAGTGAGAGAAAATTCTCCAGTGGTCACAGCTCTCTAAGATTGTCTTTGAAGCCAGCTAGGTTTGCCAGTACGAGCTTCAGATCTGTGGCTTCTTGTCCTCGTTGTGTTTTTGTGGGCACGGATCTGTTGCACGTGTTCTAGGCCTGTCCGGCCTTGAACATGTATTGTATTGTCAGGACCTCTTTGCCATTTTTGATAACACACTATATTTGCCAGTCCATCATAACCAGAAGTAGGTCTTTTGGGTATTTTGAATGACTTTATACCTCAAAATCATCCTAGAATATTAATACGCATGCTTCTGTTTTATGCCATAAAATTTGTCTTGTTAAATTGGAAAAATGCTAATCCGCCCTCTATACAAACATTTCTATCGTATGGTTAATCTTGATCTACCTAAATCTAAGATGATCTTCAAAGGTCGGGCTTGCCCTAAAGTTTACGAAAGTGTGGCAACCCTGGCTGGACATCTCGGACTCTTTCTGGGGTGATATTCCACTATCTCAGTCGCATCTTTCTACAACTTGAGATGTTTTTTTGCACCACTGCTATAGCGGCTATGGGCTCTTTATCTCTCCTGTTGTCTATGAGGAGTAGGAGATGCATGTGTGTTTGGTTTTGTGTGAGTGTGTTTGTTTGCTCTTGGTTCCTGTATTCATTATGGTATCTTTCTATTTGCAACTGCTACAGTTTTCTCAGGTGGACTCAACGTAGCCCCTGAAAACAAATAATTTCCTGCTTTTGTCCTTCTGTATGTAATCATTACTCCAATGTTGTCAGTTGGGGCTCTTTTGGAGTGATTTCCTCTCCTTTCCTGTTGCAGCTCTAGGAAATGAGGGAAGATCTTCCCAGTAAAGCACTGGTAGAATGAAATAACCCTTCCCTACTCCTAATGTAACTTAAAAATGTCACAATACTACCATTTTAGCATATTTTGGGCACAGTCTAAACAGGGAGGCAGTTCGGCAGCGTAAAATAGTAGTAGAGGATACATGGACCCCAGCAGTGTAATGGTACTCGCATAATACAGTTAATTGACAAGGTGCAGCTGTGAATAGTAGTGTTAACCTGCTGGCTGAGCAGCGTATACATCACTGTGTTGAGCTCATCTTGTGATGTACACACGGCCCCCCCGCCCTAAAGCACCCCCCCATGTTGAGGGCATGTGGCCTGGTATGGTTCAGGAGGGGGGAACGACCTGCCGGGTTGCATGCTCGGATAAGGGTCTGGTATGTATTTGGGGGGTGGGGGAGCCCCCGCCATTTTTTAAAAATATTTTGGCGTGGGAGTTCCCCTCAAAATCCATACCAGACCTGAAGGGCTTGGTATGGATGGGAGGGGGAACCCCCCGCCATTTTTTTAAAAAGATTTTGGCGTGGGAGTTCCCCTCAAAATCCATACCAGACCTGAAGGGAACAGATTAATTGGTTTTAAATGCATTCCTATGGGAAAAGGTGTTTCGGTTTACAAATATTTCGCTATACAAAAAGTCCTGCAGAACGAATTAAATTCATAAACCGAAGTATTACTGTATATGTTTTGTTTTCCAGGTAATGAGGAAATCCCATGAAGCCCGAGAGAAGCTCCTTCGTTTGGGAATATTTCGACAAGTGGAAGTGTTGATTGATACCTGTGAAGGTACGAAAATCTCTAAGCCCCTAGAACTAAACTGGCCACATAGCTGCAGTGCAATTTCAGAGAAAATTCCCGTTCTGTAAAATAGTTTATTGTTTAAAATAAAAAGCCATGCTCCCAGTGTCAGTACAAGGTCACAAATTACCCCGGGTGCTGCCAACTGTGCCCCCTGTTTGAGAGCATTGTGCAGTGTAGTAGGGACTAACTTTTTTTTTTAATTATTCATTTTAACTATATATATAAAAATATATACTTTTTTTTTTTTTTTTTTTTTTTTACCTAGCTTGGCTCAGTTCAAACCTTCTTACCGCGACACCATCCAGGGAATAAAAACAGCCTCTCCTTACTGTCTCTGGTCATGTGATATGTTGCATAACTAGTGGAGATAGGGAGAAGGGAAGTCTGCCTCCGCTCCCCAGCAGGAACCCGTAGTGAGATGGAAGTCTATTTTCAGCAGGTGTCCTTTCTTCCTGCACTCTTCAACTATTGAAGGATGGAGATAGCAGAAACCTGTCCAGCAGCTCATGCAGTGCTTCCTGCACCCAAAGACCACCCCCACTCCCCTCATCCTCTGTCCCATTGTCAGGACTTCATGCTCTCATTACCGGTGCAGTTGTGGGGTGGACACTGACAAAATGTGATTTCCACTAGCGTCTAGTGATGTTATAGCTGGGTGGGTACAGATCTAAAATTATTCTCGGTGTCTGATTTTGGAGACCAACTATATTGCATATTAGCAGACCTTCCAGCTTAGTAGACAGCGTTACTTTTTTGTATATAGAGATCTAAACTGCTTTGCTATTAGATGCTATTCAAAAGCCTCTGTTTGCGTTAATGGATAACTTCACCTTTCATGTTCCGGATGTAACATGTTATGAATAGACCCCCATTTAAAAAAAACACGGCCGTGCAGGGCTCCGTCCACCCAGCCGTGTCACTCATTAACAGTCCTCTGAATGAGAAACTGCAAGTCCGGCAGCCTTAGTGACTGTTGGCTTGTAGTTCTCAATGAACTACCACCAGGCTGATTCTTCCTGTTAGTATATCTGACAGGTCTGCAGGAGACTTGCATGGCACCAGCGATATGCTGATCACTGGTGCAGTGGTTTACAGGCTAAGTTTTGCTAGCAAATGCTTTTAAATACTTTTATTTGTTAATTATTTTTGTTATTTTGATGTTCTGTATTTCATTTTCTGAATTGCTACTGTGAACTTTTTTAGAAAATATATTTAATACAGATTATTAATGTTTCCCAGGTGAAGATGCCCTTCATAATGGGTTGGATGTCACGTTTGAGGTCACAGAGCTGCGAAGGTTAACTGGAAGTTATAATACGATGGTTGGCAACAATGAAGGCAGCATGGTAGGGACAGTGCTTAGATGACAGTTGTGTTTATGGACATCAGAAAATGTTCCTTGCAGTATAGCAAACATATCTGTTTGGTGTAGACCATTTCAAAGTAAAAAACAAGTTTCACAAAATTCTCTAAATTGATTCACAATTTATGTACTTGGAGATGGATTAAATGTTTTTAAACCTCTTGCAGGTTCTGGGGCTGAAACTTCCCAATCTCTTCGGTCGGGCAGAAAAAATGACTTTCCAGTTCTCCTATGGAACCAAAGAGACTTCTTATGGCTTATCTTTCTTCAAACCTCAAGTTGGGAAATTTGAGAGGAAGTAAATATTTAACTACTTCAATACCGGGCCAATTCTGAAACTTCTCACATACATATAAAAATCAGCATTTTTTGCTAGAAAATTACTTCACTCCACTCCAAACATTATATATTTTTAAAGCAGAGGCCCTAGATTAGTGGTCTCCAAACTGCGGCCCAGGGACCAGATGTGGCCCTTTGCTTGACTTTATATGGCCCTTGGGGTACTATTCCTCCCACTGACACCAACAATGGGGCACAATTCCTGCCACTGACATCAATGAAGGGGCACTATTCCTCCCACTTACACCAATGACTGGACACTATTCCTCCCACTGACACCAGTGACGGGACACTATTCCTCCCGCTGACACCAGTGACGGGACACTATTCCTCCCGCTGATACCAGTGACGGGACACTATTCCTCCCGCTGATACCAGTGACGGGACACTATTCCTCCCGCTGATACCAGTGACGGGACACTATTCCTCCCGCTGATACCAGTGACGGGACACTATTCCTCCCGCTGATACCAGTGACGGGACACTATTCCTCCCGCTGATACCAGTGACGGGACACTATTCCTCCCGCTGATACCAGTGACGGGACACTATTCCTCCCCGCTGATACCAGTGACGGGACACTATTCCCGCTGATACCAGTGACGGGACACTATTCCTCCCGCTGATACCAGTGACGGGACACTATTCCTCCCGCTGATACCAGTGACGGGACACTATTCCTCCCGCTGATACCAGTGACGGGACACTATTCCTCCCGCTGATACCAGTGACGGGACACTATTCCTCCCGCTGATACCAGTGACGGGACACTATTCCTCCCGCTGATACCAGTGACGGGACACTATTCCTCCCGCTGATACCAGTGACGGGACACTATTCCTCCCGCTGATACCAGTGACGGGACACTATTCCTCCCGCTGATACCAGTGACGGGACACTATTCCTCCCGCTGATACCAGTGACGGGACACTATTCCTCCCGCTGATACCAGTGACGGGACACTATTCCTCCCGCTGATACCAGTGACGGGACACTATTCCTCCCGCTGATACCAGTGACGGGACACTATTCCTCCCGCTGATACCAGTGACGGGACACTATTCCTCCCGCTGATACCAGTGGTGGGACACTATTCCCCCCGCTGATACCAGTGGTGGGGCACTATTCTTCCCCCTGATACCAATGATGGGACACTATTCCTCCCCCTGATACCAATGATGGGACACTATTCCTCCCCCTGATACCAATGATGGGACACTATTCCTCCCCCTGATACCAGTGATGGGACACTATTCCTCCCACTGATACCAGTGATGGGACACTATTCCTCCCACTGATACCAGTGATGGGACACTATTCCTCCCACTGCTACCAGTGATGGGACACTATTCCTCCCACTGCTACCAGTGATGGGACACTATTCCTCCCACTGCTACCAGTGATGGGACACTATTCCTCCCACTGCTACCAATGATGGGACACTATTCCTCCCACTGACACCAGTGATGGGACACTATTCCTACCCCTGATACCAATGATGGGACACTATTCCTACCCCTGATACCAATGATGGGACACTATTCCTCCCACTGACACCAGTGATGGGACACTATTCCTCCCACTGACACCAGTGATGGGACACTATTCCTGCCACTGACATCAATGAAGGGGCACTATTCTCCTAGATTGTAAGCTCGAAAGAGCAGGGCCCTCGAACCCCTTGTGTATCACATTGTATTGGTATTGTTCTGTCACATGTTCTGTCCCCCTTTGTAATGTACAGCGCTGAGCGAACTATTGGCGCTTTATAAATACTGTATAATAATAATAAATAATAATTCCTCCCACTTACACCAATGACTGGACACTATTCCTCCCACTGACACCAGTGATGGGACACTATTCCTCCCGCTGACACCAGTGATGGGACACTATTCCTCCCGCTGATACCAGTGATGGGACACTATTCCCCCCCGCTGATACCAGTGATGGGACACTATTCCCCCCGCTGATACCAATGATGGGACACTATTCCTCCCCCTGATACCAATGATGGGACACTATTCCTCCCCCTGATACCAATGATGGGACACTATTCCTCCCCCTGATACCAATGATGGGACACTATTGCTCCCCCTGATACCAATGATGGGACACTATTGCTCCCCCTGATACCAATGATGGGACACTATTGCTCCCCCTGATACCAATGATGGGACACTATTCCTCCCACTGATACCAGTGATGGGACACTATTCCTCCCACTGATACCAATGATGGGACACTATCCCCCCCCCCCCAAACACCAATGATGGGACACTATTCCTCCCACTGACACCAGTGATGAGGCACTATTCCTCCCACTGACACCAGTGATGAGGCACTATTCCTCCCACTGACACCAATGATGAGGTATACATAGCTCACACTCTAGGACATTTTCTATTCCTACTGGTCACAGTCTGGCCCCCCTAAAGCTTGAAGGAAAGTAAACTGGCCCTTTGTTTATAATGTTTGGAGACCCCTGCCCTAGAGAATAAAATGGTGGGTGTTGCAATTTTTTATGTCACACAGTATTTGTGCAGTGCTCTTTTAAATGAAAAGTTTTGGAAAAAGTACTCTTTAATGAATTTTAGTGAACACAGACACAATATAATACAGGCAGTCCCTGAGTTACAAACATCCAGCTTACATGCTACTTGTACTTAAGATCAGAGGCAGTGTGATGTCACGCTGGCCCCGGAAACCGCCGGGTGGCCATCTTGCTGCTCACCGCATGCTGCCCCCTACTGTCTGGTGGACAATGTACACTCACCCATCCATCCATCCATGTCATCATGCTTTAATTTGTTGAGAGATCATTTTGAAAAACACCCCCTCACATTTCTGACGGTAGCCATCTTGAGTAAGGGCAGATGATTCATGTAGCATTTACTTCCTGGAATCATCTGCCCTTAGCTCAGGCATTGACTGAGCTGAGAACCCTTCCTCCCCTGCTGAAGACTGCTGGGATGTATGACGACATTTGCCTAGGTGGGAAACCAGGAAGTAACTGAAGTAAAGTACTTTCCTATCTATTTACTAATGCTAGCAGCATAAAGATTAAAAATAGTTCATGTTAATTGAGAGAGTAAAGTTTCACTTAAATAAATAACAAACCTACTGAACCTATCTTATTTGTAACCTGGGGTCTGCCTGTACTCCATTTTATTGGTAAAATATAAAAGATTATGTTACGCTGAATAAGTAGATACCTTTTAAAATTCATTACACCCATGGAATGGTGCCAAACTATGGTACCTAAAAATCTCCTTAGGTGATGCATACATGTGTATATATGTGTATGTATGTGTGCGTGTGTGTGTGTGTGTATGTATGTATGTGTGTATATATATATATATATATATATATATATATATATATATATATATATAATTTTTCTTTTTTTTTTTTCTTTTTTCAATTATATTATTAATACAATGGATGAGCAACATCCCCTGTGATGGCATGGGCCATGAAAGGTCCTCTTTATGGAGATATCTGGGGTCTATTAGATCTCTCCTAAGGCCTCCGATGCAGCTGATCAGATACAGATCGGTCTGATCGCCTTCTTTGCTGGCCGGTAACAAGCCAGTAATCAAAGAACCAAAACTGGAAGTGACAAAATCCTCATTGCTTCCAAATCCTGATCTCACAGAGAGGGAGGAACAACATCAGTTCCTCACTCTCTGTTCACTGTTGGAGAGGCCGCCGGTTGGAGCAATCCTGGGCTCCGGGATGGGAGAGGCTAAGAAAGGCAGGAGGGGGAGGGCACCCCCTTCTGCCAGCTGTAGAAATGATTGAGTGGCTGTACTTCTACATGAAGGGCAATTGTCAGCTGAAAATATGATATTGGCATGATGCCTGTAGCTTTAGGAATTATCCTGGTATAACCACCTAAATCCCAGGACATCATTGGACATCCATCCAGGGGGGAAGTGGTTAAAATATAAGTTTTGCCAACAAGTTTTGGCTGATAATTTAAGTCCAACTCCATGTTGCCTCTCCCCTTGGACCGCCCTCATGCCCCTCCTATTTATTTTTTCTTTGGTCCTTCGGTCCAGTCACACAAGGTCACAGATCATCTTCTTCCCTCAGCAGTGGACTGGCCTTGAATGCTTCAGAGACCCGCACAATCCAGTATGTCCAGGGTGGTTTGATAACAAACCCCTAGGGTGTGGTGGGTCCTTGACGCCATGGACTCGTAAATGGGTTGAATGATGCTGGGTGTCATTGAACCTAGAGGAAGACTTGGCATTGGACAGCAGAGCAGGGAGTCTTTGCAGGTCCGAATTTGCAGCATTTTCTTGATTGGTTGATCTGGGTTATTGCATGTTTGCTCATCTTTGTTCTGTTTTATTGCATAAAATTGATAATTTGTATAAAGATCTTACAAAACCAATATGATCTAATATGTCTTCCATTTCTTCTTGTCCAGTTTCTGCCTCAACTTGTACAAGGTAACTGGCCAGTTTCCAAGGAGTTCCCTACGAGAGACTGATCGAGGAATATCTACAGAGTTTAATGTAAGGGACTTTGAATATCTTTTTTTTGTAGACCAATTTCCCAAATTTAGCAGTGACAGTTTATGGTGCACAAAATATGTAGATACATTGATCTGTCATTTACTACAGGATGACCGTTCTAATTTTTCACAATCACATCTCTAATGTTGTGGGAATATAGTTTGAAAATCAAAATTGCGCTATCCTTTGCAAATTAAAGGATAAGTTCACCATTTGGAACATGTTACATGTTCCGCCTGTATTTAAAATAGAACATGTTCTACCTCCTGCATCTACTCGCTCCAATCCCCGTCTCATTGTGACAGCGGGTGAGGGATCTTCTGCACCTGGTGCCACAATTCAAAAACAGCGCGGCCATGCGGAGCACCACCCCACACGACTGAAATAACTACCACTACTGTCAGCCTTTGCGGTTGACAGCTTGTAGTTCTGAATGGACTGGGAGAGTGCTGATAAGCGCTCTTAGTTCATTCACAAGCCTCGCAGCTTGTAAACCGCCGTATGGAGGTATAGTCTAAAAGCTGCAACGCTTGTCTGATCCACCGATCACTGGTGCAATGCCTTGCAGGCTCCTTAGGGAAAAAAATAACAAATGTACATGTTTTTTCCTGCAAAAAATATGTGCATATATATATATTTTTTTGTCTGAAGATGAACTTTATCCATTAGGTAAACCTATTCATACTTAAAAGTGGACAGTGTGATTTGCCTGGAGCACATCAGGTTTTCAGAAACTCCTTTGTCTATTCCTGGTCTAAATAGCAATTGGCTATTCTAAAGCAAGTGGCAGCAATTCAGAAGAAAAATGTGTCTCAGAATGCAGATCAATAGAATCAGAATCCAGATGATTAATAGGTTCACCTTCCACCTAGGAATAAAAGTAAGAGGTCTTGTCTCCTGCACATTCAGAAGAAGTAAATTCCTCCATTTTCATAGGATAAATTGGGCTTGTTTGCACTGGCTGTGTTGTCAGATGTTTACAGTGCTGGCAAAATGAATGGACTTTACGCAATGCATTATTTAAATTGGACTTGTTTCCACCAATAAACTCTATCTTGTTGCTGCATTTTGGGTGTAGCTTGCTGCATTTTGGGTGTGTCACCCTTCAATGTGCCAGTTAAGTAATTGGAGTAGGATTATTACAAAATACAGCACAAGTGTAAACACAGAGCAAAGTGTGTTCTATGAATTGCAGCCTTCCCTTCAGTCTTACACATGTGTACAAGTCCCTTTCCTGTACCAAAGGTGTTTATTCTCATTTCAGTGCACACTGTGAGCTTTTCCTAAAATGCATTAGAAGCTGCAGCAAGTTAAAGCATGCCTCATTTTTCTCGTTGGAGAACATCTAATATCATTTAGCACTTTCCTTCCCAGCCTGATTGTACCTAGTCTGCCTCTCCAATTCATTGGATTTCAGTTCTTTCAGTCATGGAGCTGCAAAATCACGTGTGGGCCTTACCTAGAGCGATCTGTATGCAGATTTAGTCTGTTTAATAATGTCCACTCCTACAGACTGATATCCGCCCATCAAGGCATTTTGATGTTTACATAACTTCTCCCAAGAGCCAGTCCACTGCTTGCATCAGGGCTGAGTGCTCTTGGGGGGACTACTGAAGCAGGGTGCTGTGATGTTTTCAGGAATCTATGTGCAGAACTGCTGGCCGCTCCAACTAAAAAAGAAAGTTTTATTTAAAAATGTATTTAGCATGTTGTGGATGGGGTGGTGATGAGAAAAGGTATTTAGCAGTTTATAGTTACTAAAATATTTGCATTTCCATGTTATGTGTACTGTGGGAGACCAGATATAGTGAATGCAGGGTTTAGTAAGACTTTAATGATCATGTTAGGATAAAGTTTTTTTTTTTTTTTTTTTTTTTTGTAACAAGAATGCTGGATTGAACTAGACATCTGACCTGTGTACCTGGGGCAGTAGCTCATTAGATAGTGAATCAAAAATGAGGATCCTCTCCTAAACTCATTGGTGTGGGTAATCTTTTGCCCTAATTTGCAACTATGCATGGCATACATCCAGATTATGGTACCAGTTTACCTCCTTCTGTGCTGTCATGCAGCAATGACGGGTCCAGTATCCTGTCATCACTGCATCTTCTGCGCTAGTTCTTTCAGGTCCAGCGGCAATCCTCTTTGGGTGGTCACTGATTCCGTGTGCTCAGGCGTCATGTTGTCTGTGGCACCTGGCTCTTTTCTCAGCATGCCGAGAATATGTTAAACCTTCATCTGGCTGTCCTTTGACTTTCTGATGGTGTTGTATTCTTTCTCTGATAACAGTTCCCAATCTGGAAGACCAGCCACACCTTGAAGTGGGAGGGAGTATGGAGAGAACTTGGTTGCTTGGCCCGAACAGCATCGTTTGCCATACGAGAGGAGAGTGGACACTCGCTGAAGTCTTCTCTAGCAGTAAGTCTCACTTTTTCTGTAGGCGAGAGGACTGCTGTGTACAGTTTTGTTCCAATAGTGGATAAAATGTGTGTCCTGGCTATTCTTCAATGGGGGAATTCATCCAAGAATCTCCTAAAATGAGCAGTCACTGAGTGACTAATTTCCTGCACTTATTTAGTTTTTGTGAAGGAGAAGAAAGGAGATTTGTTGCTGAAAATATACCTGTATCCAAGAACAAATCTGTAATATATTGCAGCTTACTAGCCCTTCAATGCATTAGGTTTTTTTTTTGTTTGTTTTTTTAATTTTACATGGTCATCCTACCTGTAGTGACATTGCTCCCTCTATTAGTCTGTTAGAAGTACAGAATACTTCCCCTTCTCATCTCTATAACAGAAGGTTGTTCTGTAGTTCACAGATAGAACAGGGAACAGTCCTAACTGATATCTTACTGTGCTGTCTGCCTCTGCTGACTGTTAATAGCTCACAGGATTTCTGTCAGGATCAAAATGTATTTAGTTATGCTTACTGGACAGATATAACAAAAACATCGTCGATGGTATATTTGACAGACTAAATGGAAACAAATAAGAGAAGGTTATGATTGGGGTTTCTATATAGTTTAAACTGTAGGATTGAGGGAGATTGATTGCTCAGCTGCTCTACTGAGAGTCTTTAAAGCTGCACACCAAGCACATAAACTTGCATTCAAGTGAATTCTTCAATAGGCACAAAGGATATAAATCTACTTTGAGTGCACCAGATGAATTTGCAAACTCAGATATTGCCTGCTGAAAGTAGCAGTGACATCACTGTGCTGTATATAGCCTGCGCAGAGAGCAAGGCTGTGGGAGGGACTTGGAAGACTGCACTCACAACAGACTGCCTGCAGAAAACTACAGGAGGGAGCAGAGACCAAACCAGTCACTTTGCACAAGAACAGAGAGCAGCAGTGGCCAGTCTTTATTACAGGAAGCTCCTGCACAGAGGTAAAGTTTCACACTAGCTTACTCCCCAATCTAAAAAATGAACACAATGTACACCAGGATTTAGAGAATATATATGCCTCTTGAATTCAACCACTTGCAGACAGTCTCCCCGCAATGTACTGCGGACTGGCAGCCGCTGTAGACAAAGCAGCGTACCCATACATCACTGTCTACTTCCGGTTTTCATGCGCACACATGAGAGCCCTCCGACCAGCAACTGCTCTGATTGTACACTGCAGTAGCATGTCAGCAACTCTTTGCCAATAATTCACTGCCGGGACCTGCTGATCGGCTGTGTACAATCACAGCCCAGAGCTCTGTGTTGAAAATCATCACAGACCTTTGTACAGAGAAAACAATCTCTGTGATGAGAAAAGAGCTCAATAATAAAAAGCAGCACACTTTCTACACATAGTTAGGCACACATTTAACCCCTTGATCACCTAGATGTTAACCCCTTCCCAGCTAATGTCATTGAAAAGTGACAGTGTATAGCATTATCACTGACCACTGTAGTGATGTCAGTGGCAGTTAGTCAGTTCCCCCAGCGCCAGTTAGTGACAGATTGGCTGCCGAACTATTGCAGTCCCAGTTTAAGTTGATGATTGCTGCCATTAGTATTGTACAGTGGATATAGAAAACAATCAACCCTATTTAAAATAATCACATTTTGTTACTTTTCAGCTGGAAATGAAGCCAGACACATCTTTTGTTTTATCCAGTGTTTTTGTATTTACTCAGTGCAACTTAAAACGTCCATGTTAAAGATATAACACCAACATGTCAGAAAATAAAAATCAAAAACAGAGTCACTGAGTTGGAAAAAGGATCACCTCCTTCTAAAAATGACTTGTAAAGTCAAACAGGAGAAGCTAATCGCCTTCTCAATGACACACAAAGCCATTTGACATTCAACTGTGATCAGCTGTGGTCGTTTTGATTAGCTCAGCATGAAATGAACTTTCTGGGAGCATTTCAGTCCCTGGTAGTGCAACTAAAGCAAACCATCAATTATGAGTGGATAGGCACTGTCAAAAGATCTCTGGGATAAAGTTGTGGACAGGCACAAGACAGGAGATGGATACAAAAAAATTTCAAAGGCTTTATCAATGCCTAGAAGCACAGTGAAGTATATTAATAAGGAGTGGAAGGTGTTTAGTACAACACAGATCCTCCCTGGATCAGGACATCACTCCAAACTGGATGCAAGTGCCAGGAGGAAACTGGTCAGAGAGGCTACCAAAAGGCTTACAGTAACTCTGAAGCAGTTGCAGAAATGTAGGACAAAGAGTGGTCATTGTGTGCATGTGACAATATCACAAATTCTCCACAAATGTGGCTTGTATGGGAGGGTTGCAAGAAAAAAGCCACTCCTCAAGAAAGGCCTCATGGAGTCACCACTGAGCTTTGCCAAAACGCACCTTGAAGGTTAGGAGGCTACATGGAAAAAAGTGTTATGGTCAGATGAAACTAAAATTTAATTATATGGCCTGAACACCAACCGATATGTCTGGCGGAAATCCGATACAGCTCCCCATCCAAATAACACCATTCCTACAGTAAAGCATGGAAGTGGTAATATCCTGTTATGGGGGTGTTTCCCTACATCAGGGACATTTGTCAGGATAGAAGGAAAAATGGATGGGGCAAAATACCGTCAACGTCTTGAGGAAAATCTGCTGCCCTCTGCTAGCAAGTTGTCAATGGAAAAAAGGTTTACCTTCCAACATGACAATGACCCAAAGCACACAACAACAATGACCACACAGTGGTTGAAGGAGAACAAGGGGAATGTCCTTGCATGGCCTAGTCAGAGCCCAGAAACCCCATTGAAAATCTGTGGAATGACTTGAAGACTGCAGTCCACAAACGGTCACCATCAAATTTAAATGAAATTGACCAGTCCTGCAAAGAAGAGTGGGCAAATATTGCAAAGTCTGGATGTACAAAGTTAGTAGAGACATATCCCAATAGACTAAAGCAGTGGTCTCCAAACTGCGGCCTGGGGGCCAGATGTGGCCCTTTACTTGCCTCTATCTGGCCCTTGGAGCACTATTCCACCAACTGACACTAATGATGGGGTGCCATTCCTCCTACTGACACCATTATTGGGGCACTATACATCTCACTGATAAACAATGGGTAATTATTCCTCCTATTAAAACCAATGATGGGGCACTGTATCAGGGCATTTTCATTTTCCACTGGCCACAGTATGGCCCTCCTAAAGCCTGAATGTCAGGAAACTGGTCCTTGCTTGGAAAGCTTGGAGACCCCTGGGCTAAAGGCTGTGATTAAAGCAAAAGGCTGTTCAACAAAATACTGACACAAAGGTGTGATTCTTTTTGCAACTCAGTGATTTTTTTTCTGACATGTTGGTGTTATATCTTTCACTTAGATTTTATAAGTTTAATTGTTGTAAGAGTAAGCTGGATAAAACAAAAAGTGTGCCTGTCTTCATTTCAGGCTGCACAGCAACAAAATGTGATTATTTTAAAGGGGGTGATTCTTTTCTATACCCAATTTTAAAAAAAAATAGTTTGTAGGTGCTATAACTTTCATGCAAACCAATCAATATACATTTTTGGGGGATTTTTTTTTTTTAGACATGTAACAGAATACATTTATGCCAAAATTTATGAAGAAATTTGATTTGTTACATTTTTTTTTTTTATTGGTTAGCAGAAAAAAAAATTGAACCCCCCCCCCCCCCCCAAATTATTTTTAATCTTTTTTTCGCTGATCTCGCAAAAAATAAAAAACCCAGTGGTGATCACATATCACCAAATGAAAGCTCTATTTGTGTAACAAAATTATTTAAAATTAGTTTGCTACCACCTTGTATGACCAGTATGCAATTGTCAGTTAAGGTAGCGCAGTGCTAAATACCAAAACAAATGTCCTGGTCACAAAAGGGGAAACATTTTCTGGAGCTTAAAATGCACTAAAGCTTCGGGTTTTTATTTTTTATTAGAAAAAAAAAACGTTATGTTTACCTGATCTGTGCAGTGGTTTTGCACAGAGCAGCCCTGATACTCTTCTTTTCGGGTACCTGCCGGTGCTCATTCCCCTTGAGCAGTACCCCCAAGAAATTGCTGCTCGCCCTGGGGGCACTGCTGCATGCTCATCCCTGAGCCACTGCTCTATGTGTCCATAAGACACAGAGCTGTGGCTCGGCCCTGCCCCCGCTGTCTCCTCATTGGCTTTCTGGTTGTGATTGACAGCAGTGGGAGCTAATGGGCTACCGTTGCTGTCTCGGCCAATGAGGAGGAAGTCTCCAGACATCAGAGGCTTTTGAACGACGCTGGATTGGAGGGGAGTCAGGTAAGCATTGGGTTGTAGGCTGGGGGGGCCGCTGCACACAGGTTTTTTACCTTCATGCATAGACTACATAAAGGTAAAAAACCTTGAGCCTTTAGAACCACTTTAAGTGGTTAAACAATATTTGTTTATCCTGGAGTTCAGCTTTATAGTATTTTTTTCATTCGAAGAGTTCTATCTTGAGACATTTTAGTAGTAGAATTTAGCTACTCAAAATTTGTCATGTACTTTTCTGTGAATTGTATTATAATCACTTGTAATGCTTCTTTTCAGCATACAATGGTGATTGATAGTCGCAACTCTACAATCCTGCCTAAAAGAGGTGCCTTACTGAAAATCAATCAGGTAATCTTTATTAATCAGTATGGTGTAATCTAGCAGTAACTGACATACTGGCTAAAGATGGATATCTCCCCAAAATAGCATGGGGGGTGGCTATACTGTGCACATGACTATCACATTGAGATTGGCTTTGTTTTTCATTTCAATCCCATGGGCATTAATATGGAGGAGGTGCACCCGATTTGTTACTATGGCAGCCTCCACTCTTCAAGGAATGCTTTCCAAAAGATTTTGGAGTGTATCTGTGGGAATTTGTGCCCATTTTTGAGGTCTGGTACTGATGTTGGATGAAAAGACCTGGCTCACAATTGGCAGACCATTTATTTAAAGGTGTGCTGGCCACTCAAATTCCTCCAAATCAAGCTGACCAAACCACAGTGAAGGGCCCTCCCCCAAACTGTTATCACCAGGTTGGAAGTGCACAACTTACTAAAATGTCTTTGTATGATGTAGAACTAACAGTATCCTTCACCGCAGACACCCAAACTTGACTATTTGGAGGGGGTGTTTACATACTTTTTGCCATATAGTGCATGCCTGTCCTCGCACAAGTCCTGTGCCCCTCTGCAGTCCTGGCTTGACCCTGGGAGCAACACATGTGCAGTTCCTTGAATCCTAAACTGTTCTTTTATAGAGGAGAAAAGTATTAGTCACTCTCTCCCCCTCTCCCTTCCTTCAGGCTGAGGAAAAAGGGGCATTTGGAGGAAACCCACAAAAAACTGTGGAGAACATAAACGCACAGACAGTATATTCCTAGTAAGCCTAAAGCAGAGGTGCTACAATTCAAGAATGATAACCTCTGCTGCCCCCCATTTAAAATAAATGTGTTCGTTACAGGTATTCGAAAGGTGTACACAGTTATGTATGCTTTGAATGATGACTTTGTATTGCTCTTCTTAGCGGTGTATATTCCCAGTCATCCTGATATTTGTGTTCCACAGGAGCTAGCCGGGTACACAGGAGGAGATGTCAGTTTCTTAAAGGAAGACTTTGAACTGCAGCTGAACAAACAGCTCTCATGGGACTCTGTAAGTTCACTTTATAGATCAATAAAGGCCCTCAATAAAATCACAGATCTAAAACACAAGGGATTTATTTGTCATCCAGGACCATGAAGATCATTCCTTTGGCTCTAGGGCCAACTGTGTATTTAGAGCTGCACAGATTCTATTCTAGTATTCTCGCAATAAAATTCAATTTACATACAGTGGTTTCAGGCTTGTTAACCCTCATTAATACAAGATATGGAAATTATTGCTTCAGTATAATAGGTCTTGTGAGCAATAAAAGAATATCTTATCAGGTTAAGTGGAAAGGGCAGTACCCAAAATCCAGTGGGGCAAAATTAAATGATATGCATGACTCTGGCCTCATATTTGATTCCAAAGCCCTACTCGTTTCACAGCGGTATTCTAGACAAGTTTTTACAAAAACCAGACATAGTGAAAATTCCTAATAATTATCAGTTCCTGATAAATTGTTTGTTCTGAACTAATTAGCATAGGTTCTAAATGACTAGTTAAAGGTATACTTCTGAGTGTAAAATGTTTGAATTTTTAGTAATCCTTTCAACCAGTCAGTCTGTTGAGTTGGAATGTTTTGTCTTCAACTGTATGAGCAACGTTGTTCATAACCAATCATACTGATTTCCTACCTCCTGGAACCAATAGTTTATTATGAAATGACAAAACCATCCAGCTTTTGCCATGGTATTTTTTGTTGATAGAAATTGTTGTTGCTTATGGAATGATCTCTTGTAGGATCGTATGTCACAAATAAAGTCTAGTGAGAACTGCCCAATGCTTGTGGGTGGCCTAACGTCCTCTGATTACTTGGCCTTGAGTGGGCTCAAGAATGTGAACTAGGCTCTATGGCAAACTCGTCCCTCCCTACCCCTGGTATCATGACTTTGCATATTTTCGTTCTCACTCTACCCTGTACGAGTATACTGTGTTGTTGGCTCATAAGCCCTGCTCCATAGAAGCCATACACTGCACTGATGATGGACAGCCTGAAACCGTTTCAGATTGGAAAATAAAGTGACTCTATAATATTAGGCTATATTTGCAGTATACACCAGCAGTTGTGGAGGTGTATCTGGCTGGTTGGGCATAAAGCAATGATTTGCAAGGCACTGCCCACTGTCCTGTATGTGGAATAATCCTCTTCTTTTTGAGATATGTGGTAGAATAGGGAGGTATGTGTGAACATGTATCATTCCAAGAAAACTTTTCTGTGCTGTGCATTGATGAAGTTGAAGGGGTTTTGATCCCTTTAGTCACTTGCAACTATAACCTGTAGAGCTATACTGTCATATTGTATTCCAGTAATATACTTCACAAAAGTGAACCACAATTGGGGCTTTTCTCCAACAGGTGCTTTCTACTTCCCTTTGGGGGGGAATGTTGGTTCCACTAGGAGATAAACCGTCCAGCATTGCAGATCGGTGAGTTCAACAGATAATGCTCCTTGATTAGGCATATAAATTAGCAATGTAACTTTTTTTTTATATATATTTTTTTTTTGTGCATGAAAGGTTTTATTTGGGAGGACCAACAAGTGTGCGTGGATTTAGCATGTACAGTATTGGACCTCAGAGTGAAGGTAAGCACATTTAAAGGGCCAGTAAATATTAATGACAAGGGGTGTGGCTTAATTTAGCCATGTCTGTTACTTTGTCTAATGAAATTTTTTTTTTAGCAATTTACTGGATACTAAGCAAAACAGCAGAGGAACATTGTTCCTCCCCTTGTGGGACATTTTCCCTTTACACAGGAAGAAAAGGCTTTATTTCAGCTTGGTGTCCTTGGAGGTGGGGCATTTAAAACTGAATTGAAATTTTTCCCTTGTAGTGGGGGACTAAAGACAACCCCCCCCCCCCCTCCCCCTTGTATAAAAGTTGCTATTCTGCTTTGAGATATGATTTATATAGAACAATTCAGTGATCGTTGCATGTGTTGTTTTTCTACTACAGTATTGCGGGTCTCTGTGACCTGTATAGAAAGTTACATTATATGCTGATGGTACAGAGCTAGCAGTTTATGTATTTAGTTGTGATTCTCTGTTTTTTTTGACAGGTGACTATCTTGGTGGTGAAGCATACTGGGCTGGCGGTATTCACCTTTACACTCCGCTACCTTTCCGTCCTGGACGTGGTGGTTTTGGGGATCTTTTTAGGACCCACTTCTTCCTTAATGCTGGAAATCTCTGCAACCTGAATTATGGTATGTATATAGAATAGATCATTGGACAATAGGTGTCATTTTTTTTTTTTTTTTACATTAAAGAGTTACTGCACTTGTATTAATGACCCCCCCTTTGCCTCCCTTGCCTGTCCCTGATCAGTGAGCTATCGCTTGCTAGATCCCCTGGCTGCTTGTACTCGGAAGATGTTGAATTCGAACAAGTTCAGCGAATGGCAAAAAAATTAAAAAGGAGGATGAAGGACCTTCGCTATGAAGATCAATTACATAGATTACAGTTTTTCACCATATGCATCAAACACTTAAGGGCTAATATAATGACAATGTAAAAATATATCAAATATGACTCCAAAAACTGCAATAATCTGTTTAAGGTTCTTGAAGAGGACATGTGGCGACGATTTGAGGTTAGAAGAAAGGAGGTTTAACTGTAGAAAGGGTTCTTCACTGTTAAAGCAGTAAAAATGTGGAACACCCTCCCCTAGGAAGTGGTCATTAACTTTAGAAAAAACTTTTAGATGACTTAATTTAGACGTCTTCCTCATTGGATGGCACTGTTCACATCCATTGTGTGTTCTTGTCCATACTCAGGTGAAGGTCCAAGGGCTCACATCCGCAGGCTGGCTGAGTGTATCCGCTGGTCATATGGTGCAGGCATTGTGCTTCGGCTGGGAAACATCGCAAGACTTGAACTTAATTACTGCATCCCTATGGGCGTCCAGAGTGGAGACAGGTCTGTGTACAGATGGAGTTGGTTTAAGACCTTCTTATATTTGTTCTGTACTGTTTTCCATGGCAACAAAATAGCTCAGTGGAATGTCATGGAAGGATGGCATGGGTTGCTAGGTCCAGTTAGGGTCAGTGCTTTACTTCCAAAGAGGACCTGTTTTGACAGAAATATGGGGTCAGCCATCATTAACTTGTTTTGAAAGCTTAAAGTGATAGTAAGGCTTCAATTTCTTTCTTAAAATAATAATCATGTTATACTGCCTACTGTGCATTGGTATTGCAAGGAGCAGCTCTGATCCTCCTCTTCTCAGGTCCCCCGCTGGTGCTCTTGGCTCCTCCATTGACTAGTGCTCACCATAGAAAGCTGGTTTCTATGGGGCATTCTTGTGGGCTCGCTCCCGAGCTGCCCTGTCTGCATCTATAGACACAGACCGTGTGGTCCGTCTCTCGCTTCTTCATCACAGAATGATGAGTGAGGAGGGAAAGCGCTTCTGCTCTCGTGAACATTGCTGGATAGAGATCAAGCTTAGATAAGTATGGAGGGGGGAGGCTTTGGGAATCCTCTGGCACAGAAGATAGAATAAAATGCAGTCTTACTTTTTTTTTTTTTTCTGCACTGGAAACTGACTGGAACTGACTGCACTGGTGTGAACTAGGGCCATTGGAATACATGGCCCTGGAATACATTACCCCTTACTTCCTGTGATCAAAGGGCAGGCCCGAAATGAGACAAAAAAATAGGCCTGGGAATTTTAGACTGAACAGCCAATTTCCGGGGGAAGGGGGGGGTACAAGAGCATTCACAGGGGCAGTTGGTGATGGAAGTCGGTGCTCCGTACTGTAATGTAAAGGGGCACTGTATTAATTACAGTGCAGTCCACTTTATATCACAGTACCCCTAGAAATCTAATCACAGTGCCCCCTATATATTCAAAGAAATGGCCCCATCCAGCAAAGAGACATGAGACATCCCCATCCAGCAAAGAGACATGAGACATCCAAATCCACAGAAACAGGATGTCTTTTTGCTGGACAGGAATGTCTCGTTGCTGGATGGGGATGTCCCTTCTTGGACTGGGCTGTCTCTTTGCTCAGTTGGGTCCAGCAAAGAGACATCCTCGTCCAGCAAAGAGACGGCCCAATCCACCGCCACTACAGACCTATCACAGTGTACCTGCCAGTGAAGGAGAGAGGCCGCTGTTGTCTCGTCAGTGCTGCTGTGAGCAGTGGCCAGCCGAGGAGGTGTCTGTGTGTCCTCGGCGGTTGCTTCCTGCTCTCCACTGGAGCCGTCACTGCCGCTCCTCCTGTTGGCCCTGCTTTAGGCATAGCTGCACAGCAGGAGGTGAGCCGCGGCTGAGGTCTGTTTTAGCCCTGTCCAGGCCATGGTCACCGCTTACCTCCCCCTGTGCGGCCTGTCATCAACAGGCACCTCTTCTAAAGCCCGGCGGCCCCGGCTCACCAGGCAAATGCTCTGTGTGCCCTATGGCCAGTAGGGGCCTGTCAGAGGGGAACTTTCTGAGTCTCCCTATCCTAGTAACAACCGCACCCTCCACAGAGACAGGAAGTGCAGGAAAACCTCCAACAGGGAGAAGGAAATAAAAAACGAACAAACATTTTAAAATCAGAACTCCAGTCAGCATTTGTTATTGCTAAAGCCTGCGTGATATTGGGTTATATATACTTGATATAAAAGACAAATTTATGCAGATCTGTAATCCGTGCAAGTACCTGAATTGGACCAGGTATTAGCCTCTTGCAGTCTCTGTACAGCAGGACTGGAGTGTGAAAGGAAGAAGCAGCACAGGGAGCCAAAAGGCATGCTGATAGGAGGAAAGTAGTAAGTGACAGACTGTGCTGCTTCTCCTACAGTGCTGCTTTACCATCTATTCACATTCTAGGGCAGGTTCAGGACAACCTGAGCTCAGTGGGTTGAATGATGCTGGCAGTCAGACTGAGGACATCTAAGGACAGAAAAAAAGCATTACAGGGAAAGTCTCTGGATTGAAGCTGCATATTTTAACAAAAGCTGGTTTTGTTATTTATCTTTTAATAGGCTGTTCATTTTTATCTTGATGTTTTTGGTTGGAGTTCTACTCACCTCCTAATTTGCATTCTATCTTTTACTATACTTTTATCTTCTTTGGTAGACTTTTGTTACAGTATTTCTGTATATGGGATCTGGACAGTAAAATGTCTGTACTGGACTGAGTTGTACTGGACAGATGTTTTTTTCTTTTAGTATTGTAAATATTTTTGATGTTTTTTTTTTTGCCTTAGGATATGTGATGGAGTTCAGTTTGGAGCTGGGATTCGTTTCCTTTAACTGTTGGAGGGATTTGACACAAAAGCACTTCAGATGGAAATCTCTGCACTATTTAAAAGACACCATTATGTTTTTCTTACAATTCTTAAATTCTGTTTGTGTACAATGTTTTACTCACAGGTTTATGCAGACAGCTGTACTAATAAAACAAAAAAGTGAATTTGTCTCGTAATGTCTACATAAAAAAAGGACTCCGGTCTTCTCTTCAGTCTTGCACCATTGTACAGGCTCCTCTCCTGCCCTGAAATTGTTTGCACGGATTTTACTGCACACTGTGAGCTATTTGCACTCTGCATCAGAACTGCAGTCAGTCAGACAGAGCTCATCTCATTGCTGACTGGAGGGCATCCCGCATCGTCTAGCTCTTCTCCAGCATGACTGCCCCTGGCCTTTTTTTTTTTTTTTTCATTGGATTTCAGTTCTTTTAATCAAGTAGACTCCTCCAGATTGACATCCACCCTCTGGGACATTTTGATATTTGCATAACTCCTCCTAAGAACCAGATCACTGCCTGCATGAGGGCTGAGTACTGAGTTGGGGTGCTGTGATGTTTTCAGTAAGCTATCTACAGCACCCTGCCAGCCTCTCCCAGCAGCCATGATCTTCTTGCATTGCATCGAGAAGCACAGAGACCCAGCAATGATGTCACTGAGCCTAAAATACGGTATGTAATGAAAATGGAAATATTTTATTTAAAAACCTCATTAGCATGTTGAGAGGTAAGCAAGGAACCAGGGAAGACAAAATGTAAGCAGAATAAACTTCTATTTGAGGGAAGAAAACATCCCCGGAATGCAGGAACTCAAGAGAAAAGTCATGATGTACACTGACAACTAATTTTTTTTCTGTTTGAGTGGTTATTTGTACAATAAAGTCTTAGGGAGGTCTTTAAAGGGAAACTGTTACTTTGTCCTGCATGAGCAAAGCATGATTCCTCCTTGAGGTTCAAGCTTAACTTCAGGGAAAGGGAAATGCTTCTGTGCAATGGGGCTTCTCCCACACTGCCAGGGTTAAAGTAGTAACTCTGTTTTTGTTTGTTTTTTTTATTAGCTTAACTCATTGAGTACAGTAAAATAAACATTCCCCAGTTAAAATTCCTGCAGTTTACAACTTTAATGTAGCTTGCTCCTGCTCGCTCTGTGCTGCTTCCCTGAACTTCCAGTCTTAACAGGCATGTCAGTCTGTTAGCTTGGAGAAGGAAGGAGGAGCAGGGAATTGCCTTTCCATCCCAGCCTATGAAGCTGTGCATTTCTATTGATGCACATAGTGTAGGTTGACATAACTTTAGTCCCTGCATGCAAGTGACTGCAAGAGAAAGGAGCCACTCTTAGGAAATCTGAGGCAGTGGTTATGGCACCAGCTTAGAAACATAGGTGAGGGTTAAAAAATAAAGAAGCTACATACTCCTACAGCCTGGTGGGAGCAATGGACTGGGTCTGTAAAACTATTTTATAAGCTTTTGAGATGATCATTTAGGTTTAGGGGGCCATAATATGCAGTATACTTACCTAGTCCTCTGATCCCATCGGCTCCCTCTAGGCTGTAAGGGTGGACTGCAAAGCTTCGTCTCCCACATGCTCTGGTGGTTGCAGGACCTCTGCTGTCATCAAGGCAGAGCCCATTACCCTGCATTGGATATGAGGGGCAGTCCACTGCTGGAGTGTGGCGTAGAGTGGAGAGCAGCCAGGAAAAAGGAGGATCACGCAAGTACAACTGCATTTTGTGCCCCCTTTACCTAAATGAGTGTTTAACTCTTACAGTGCTTGGGCATGTCCAGTGCAAGAGAGCATTTTTCCTTTCTGCAGAAATGGGCTTTAAATCCTGAGTAGTTTTTTAAAGTATCAATATACCTCCAGATGGATAAACAGCTCTTTTGTGTGATGAATCATTACTGATTAATTTCTGAAGAATTAAGGACATGACTAAGGGTTGAATCACACAACTGCAGTCTCAGACTAAGGAGACTGTATATTGTATAGAGCGAGCTTGTTGGAGCCCAACCTCTGTAGCTGTAAGATAAAGGTGCCAGATGGATATCAGGGATGGATGGATGGGAGCAGTAACACTGAGGCAGCTCTTCTTAGAGTGGAAGCAAGGCCCTAATGCAGTAACAAGAAAAAGAGAGGAAGGCGCCTCTAAGTGCAGTAGTGACAATTTATTCAGTAAACAATGGAAAATTTGTACTTACAAGATAAACGGTTAAAAAGACTCATCGTGTGGTAATTAGATCCAGGTGGGACATCCAGCCGTCCAGCAGCAGACTATGCCTATAGGATCAGGAAGGAGAGACCAGGATGTGCCTGTGCATCTGAAATGAAGCTTGGAGAGCAGAGTCAGATGTAGCAGGTGAAGGGGGCGGTAATGCATTTTGGAGCATGCTCAATAGGCTCTTTCAGATGAGGTCTGAAGAAGGAGCCTATTGAGCAAAATAAGATTGCAAAAATAATTTTGCAAATAAATAATCGTTCTTCATAAATCTTGGCCAAAGTTTATTCAGTTATCTTTTTAGTAAAAAAAAATAATCCAAATTAGTTTTTGATCAAAAATTATAATTTTTGAAAAATTGTTTTTTAAATTTTTTTTTTTTTTTTTTAAACATACTGTCACCCTGGCAGCACACCATAGTGACCCTGTACTACTTGTGGGGGGTGATGATTTTTTTTTTTTTTTACACTGATTGCTTTTACACCCATAAAGGCTGTAAAAGCAATCATTTCTCCTTCTCTCTGGCTGCATTCTTGCAGCCATTGAGAAATACTGTGTGAGCTGTGATTGGTCACAGCTTGTCACATGGTACAAGGCTGTTGTGAATAGCCTTGTACCATGTGACCTCTGTGATCATTCACAGATTTCACAAGTAGTAAGCAGTGATGTCAGGAAGTGACATCTTGCTTACACCTATTCATGTGATCACTGATTGGCCAATCAGTGATCACATGATCGGGACCTCACACAGAGGTCCCGTACAGCGATCGGTGCCACGCGCACAGTCCAAAATGGCGGGCGCCATTTATGAATGCAACCCGCCCCTGCACTGCCACCGTCTGGTCGTTTATATACAATGGCCAGACAGGAAGTGGTTAAAACACCCTATGTGTGTTTTTTGGTGCGTTTGATGTGCTTTAAAGGCGTGTTAAAACCACACCACAAACACCCATAATAAATTAGTGTTAACATGCCGCAACTGCCTCACAAATGCCTGCCAGCGCATTAGCGGAGCATTACCATAGACCTGAATGGGAGGCGCTGAAAGGCTTCAAACTCCTCCAGACTCGACATGAGGCTTCAATTTTGAAGCGACACAACGCTAACGCTTCATGTTTTGATAATGTGAACAGCACTGTGTGCTGCCCATGGTATCATTTGCATAGGTGTTTGAGGAGCTTTAAAAATGCCCCTGAAACTGCTTTCAAACCAGTGTGAACTGTGCCTAAGGCACGTATCATTCCTTAATGCGTTGAATGGTACCCCAACATACTGAGAGATAACACCTGATAGTGCCTTGCATTACCACAAAAAAAGTCTGAATGTTTGGCACACGAGGTTGTGTTGGCAGTCCTTAGAGTGGTATTAAACCCAAAAATGTAATATTTTGTGACTTGCCAATGTGGTGGCTGTATTAGTTTACTTTTGTTAGGGTTTTTTCTTCTGTTTTCTCCTGGTGATTTGGCCGGTAACACACCTCCTGTATTAGACAGCCCCGCTCTAGATGAAGGAGCACAGGGGCCACCTTTTGACAGCAGCATACTAGCAGATTTAAATGCTATAACAAATTGAAGCCAAACTCCATCTCACAATGTATAAGTAGTTACATCAAACCATTTTTTTTCCTTTTGGGAGAAAGGTTTTACATAAATAAAAGCTGATCCTTGTAAGCACCCCTGACAGTGTTAATTGATTTGTCTCATCTCTGTAACTGGTACATTCTGCTGGAGAGTTTGTTCTTTTGAAAAACAACATATTTACTGGTCTGATCGCCAGAAGAAAGAAGAGCTAGAAGAAATAAAGCCTAAAAACAACTCATCTAATAATCAGTAAGATGCAATATACTACAGGTTTGCATTTGGGTTTACTATTGCTTTAACACAAGTCGTGTTAATCTACTGCAAAGATCTAAAAGGGCCCTTAAAGTGTTACTAAACCCACAACAGTAAAATCAGTCTGTATATGCAGTAAAGCATGCTTGTTATACTCACTGTGGAATCTAAGGGGTTAATCCTCTGCATTGTGTAAAAAGGCTGTTTGATCCTGACTTCTCTGATCCTCCCCCTCTTATCTCCTGATAAGACAGATCATGTGGAGTCACTCTGCACATGCTCAGTTTGCTCTGTATTGCTAGAGAGATTTTTTTTTTTCTTGGGAGAGTGCACGTTATCAGAGTAAGGACAACCAGCACTGTCCATACAGATGTCAGGAGTTCTGCATCCTCCAACCTAGAGCAAAATGAAAGCTCCTCCTACAAGCTTTAATCAGTGCTCGGCTGGACACTGATAAAAGACTGCACTAACTGCTGATGAGAAAAGGTATTTATCAGTTTATATTTACTAAAATAATTGCATTTCCATGTTCTGTGCACTGTGGGAGAGCAGTTATGCAGGGTCCAGGGTTTAGTAACATTTTTGGGTTTGGTGGTTTTCAATTTTATTGATCTATAGGTAATTGATTTTCTCTATAAAATCTGTAATTGATTTAGGATTTATTAAAGCAGATCTTGGAATGGAAGGTCTGCTCTAGTGACCACAGCCACACACCGAAATCAAATCGCTTGCAAATGTGGTGTTAGAATAAAGCCACTAATAAAAAAGACAAAAAACTACCTGAGCCTTGGTTTACGACACTGCCATTGTCTGCAGCTCACGTTTGAAAGCATACTCCATCTGTCTGACCATGGTCTACCCACACAGTATTTAGGGTGTAACATGAAACATGGTCACACCCTCAACTTACCTAAATTCTGGGGTTCTTCCTGTGGTGTCTTCTTTTTTAAATGTATATGACTCCGCCCACCTAGGAATTCACAGGAATCTATGAATGGAAAGACTACAAGTCCCATCTGCCACAAAGGCAGGAGGTATAGATCACAATGGAGCACAGTCATGGCGATGATGTCACCGCACATGTAGCCTACAGTCAGGGGCGGACTGACCATCTGGAAATCCAGGCACTGCCCCAGGGCCTGGGGCGTAGGGGGCCCCATGAGATGCCCCTGGTACCTTTTTCATAGGCTTTTTTGAGTTTGGGCAAGGACACAGGGGCCCCATGATCCCCTATTGCCCGGGGGCCCCATGAGTTGTCAGTCCGCCTGCCTACAGTTTACTTCCTTCAGCCCCATAACAGTGCGGACCTGGAGTTGGGGGTCCACAGCACAGGAGTCTGTGCATTTTACCTGTGACAGTCATTGTGGCTGCAATGAGAAAATGTAATATATGAGCTCTTGTTTCTGTGGGTGCATTTATTACATTTCTGAAAAAGGTGGACTATACCTTTAATTCCTGGATTTGACATTTAAAGGGCCACTCCCCCCAATAATGATATTCTACTTTTCGGTAGCTGCTCCCAGTTGTGGGACTGTGATGGGGAGATGTCTGCACTCCTCACACTGGGGGGGATGTATGATGGAGGATAGAACAGTGTCTACTGCAGGGAGATCTCATAGCCGGACACCAGACTCCACCCAGAACTGAGACTCGGATCGCTTTTCCCCCCAGGTCCGAGACTGATCCCTGTCTTCTGTCTGCCAGTGTCCCTGGGAAGGGCCGACCCGATCACACCCCTCCCCGCCCGGCTCAGCCTCTTCCTGTCCCTCTTATCACATGAGGACGATCCGGGGGAGAGAGAGATCAGCCGGCAGAGATGTCCGCAGCCTCCCCGCTCCGATCCCCGACACTGCAGCGCAGCCGGATGAAGAAGGATGAGTCCTTCCTGGGGAAGCTGGGGGGCACCCTGGTCAGGAAGAAGAAAGCCAAGGAGGGTGAGTCCAGAATGGGGAGGCAGGGTTCATGGAGTCTGTAGGGAGGGGGGCAGGCTGGGAAAGGCTGAGTCTGTACTGGGGCGCTGGGAATGGTTGCTGGAGTTTGTTGGGGGGGAGTTAATGGAGTCTGTACTGGGGGGTCAGGCGGAGAAGGGTTAATGGAACCTGTGCTGGGGGGTCAGGCAGGGAAGGGTTAATGGAGCCTGTGCTGGGGAAGGGGGTCAGGCTGGGAAGGGTTAATGGAGCCTGTGTTGGGGGGAGCAGGCTGGCTGGGAAGGGTTAACGGAGCCTGTGCTGGGGGAGCAGGCTGGCTGGGAAGGGTTAACGGAGCCTGTGCTGGGGGAGCAGGCTGGCTGGGAAGGGTTAACGGAGCCTGTGCTGGGGGGAGCAGGCTGGCTGGGAAGGGTTAATGGAGCCTGTGCTGGGAAGGGTTAATGGAGCCTGTGCTAGGGAGTCAGGCTGGATGAGAAGGGTTAATGGAACTTGTGCTGGGGGGCGGGATAGGAAGGGTTAATGGAGCCTGTACCTGGTGGGTAGGCTGGGAAGGGTTAATGGAGGCTTGTACTGGGAGGGGGGCAGGCTGGGAAGGGTTAAGGGAATCTGTACTGGGGGGAGCAGCCTGGGAAGAAAGGGTTAATGTAGTGCTGTAATGTGCTGGAGGGGGGTGGAGGTGGTTGATGTCCATGCAGTAAAGATGGAGGAGTGGACTATATATGTGGCTGATGGCAAAATAATGAAAGTCATCTGGTCAGGGATTGAGTCTGTGGTCTTTACTTGGGGTAAAAAGAAAGTATTATTGTGGTCTGCTGGTAGGGGAGCAGCCAGGAAGGGGTTAATGTGGCCTGCTGATAAGGGATGAGGGGGAGGGAGGTCAGCCTGGAAGAATGTAGTGGGGTCTGGTGATGGTTAAGGGGTCATTAATGGAGTTTGCTCTGAGAAGAGACAGGGGGAGGTATGGAGGACAGTAGAAATGTCCGGCCTGTCTGGGGCTGGCTGTCCTCTCTGTATGGACCATCATACATGGAGTTGCTCGGGTTGCAGGTATGAAGGGATGGTGACAAACACAGCAGTGCAGGTGGTGCCTGTAAAGTGACACTAAACTCTGGTAAAATACATTTTCTATTCAAGTATGTATTCACAATTCCCTTCTATAAATCTCAGCCTCCTCCAAATCTCCAAATTCCTGTTTTATGTTACTGTGATCCAACTTCATTCAGAGAACGGTGGCTACGTCTGCCATCCATGGTCATGGTATTTAGGGCTGTAGTCATCCTATCTTTCTTGCTCCTGAGATGGAGTGGCATTATGGATTCTGCACTGTGAATCGTGTGCATAGAACAGTGCATGGGACCGCAACTAATGTGCTATGCTCATTCCAAACAAGTGGATGTGGGGGGAGGAAAGGTCTGGGAGTTCAAGGAGAATGTTATAGGAAGGCAGAGAAACTTGCTAAGAAACCATTTCATGAAAATAGATTACATGGCCATAAGGTAAGTGGGGGTGTGTGGATTATTCTTGGAGACTAAGGATATCATTTAGTGTCACTATAAATGTGTGAGACAGCTTTAGTTCCCTGAGTGTATAATCTGTGAGCGGAGGAGGGGCGGGGGGGCGCGCGCGGTCTGTGAGCGGAGGAGGGGCGGGGGACGCGCGGTCTGTGAGCGGAGGAGGGGCGGGGGACGCGCGGTCTGTGAGCGGAGGAGGGGCGGGGGACGCGCGGTCTGTGAGCGGAGGAGGGGCGGGGGACGCGCGGTCTGTGAGCGGAGGAGGGGAGCGCGGGGCGAGGAGGGGCGGGGGACGCGCGGTCTGTGAGCGGAGGAGGGGCGGGGGACGCGCGGTCTGTGAGCGGAGGAGGGGCGGGGGACGCGCGGTCTGTGAGCGGAGGAGGGGCGGGGGACGCGCGGTCTGTGAGCGGAGGAGGGGCGGGGGACGCGCGGTCAGTGAGCGGAGGAGGGGCGGGGGACGCGCGGTCAGTGAGCGGAGGAGGGGCGGGGGACGCGCAGCACAAACCAATTCTGTACTGCCCAAACCCGACCCATCCACAGTCATTGGACAATCATGGGAACTGAAATCTGTTCTAGTCAATATGGAGCTCCATTGAAAAATCGCTTTATTAGAGTTCCATTGTTTCCTTCGCTTTTCTTTCCTTTGATAAAGCAACTAAAATGATGGTCGCCTCCCATCTTCACTGTCATGTACATGAAATCATGTCTAAGGACATCTTACTACAAGCCAATTTAAAGGGATTGCATGAAAATTGCTACATGCGGTCATCTTTAACCCCTTCATGCTGCTTCCCTGCGGCCTTTTCAGAGCCCATTTACACTTTGTGGTCCAGAGTCGCATGACAAGTCACCCCTCCCATGTTTCCCAATGGGTACCGTTCATATCTGTGCGATTTCAAATAGTTCATGCACTACTTTTGTACGACTTTCATGCAATTTGAGTGCCATAGACTGCAATGAAAACCCACAAAAGTCGTATGAAAGTCTCACCTGAATGTTATACATGCAACAGTTGTCCATTATCATTAATGAAAGTAATGTTGTATCCAAGTTGCACCCATCCAAAGTTGCATTGAAGTCATGCAACTTTGGAGTCGTACAAGTGTGAATGGAGCCTTTGTGCCTCTTCCAGTGGTCACATGATCAGGAGTCAATCCCGCTGGTTCCCGATCAGCAGCTGTGACCTGAGATCTGTCAGTCAATGTGGCATGCATTGTGTGTACCCTCAGATCACGATGGATGTATGGTGGCTGGGTGTCAAGCCCACCTATTTGCTGCGCCATATATGCAGTGTGCTGTCAGAAAACGGTTAATCAGGTCATACATAGCAACTTTCTGCACCCATTTACAATAAAGGTGGGTGCACATGGATCGAAGTTCATCAGGAACCAGTCGAATTTTCACCTCTGTGTATCCTTCCAGGGTCGATCGTTGGGTTGGCTTCTGTTGAACAGAGGGTTCTGGAAAAGGGTTTTTTTTTTTTTTTTGATCGGTGGCTTTCAGCCAATCTACTCTACAGATCATAGAGGTGGCATTCACAATAGAACAGGCACATTGCCTTACACTGTAGCATTGCATGTTAAGGCGTTTAATCGTGCGTTGTCACAGCACACGGGTGGGAATGGGCCATCAGTCTATTTAAACATTTTCAATTGGTTTAGACTCTAACATACAATTGTAAGTGTTTGTCTGAAAGCAAGCAATCTACCGCCCATCAGCCACATGCATGAGATCGATCAAGCTGGGCTATAACCTGACCACTTCAATAAAGTTCATTCAAAAAAACGTATTCCATCACAACTAGAAAAATGCTGCAATTGAAAGCGATTTGATTTTATTGCAGTATTTAAACAAGGGGGCTTTGTCCTGCTGCTGATTGAAGCCACTGCTTTCTACGCTCGATCATTCAGGATTTCAATTCCAGCTTGATCAAAAGTAGTTGGTGGTATTAACCACTTGCCCTCCGGAGGATTTACCTCCCTTCCTGACAAGGCCATTTTTTGTGCTGCGTTACTTTAACTGATAATTGCGCGGTCATGCAATGCTGCACCCAAATAAAATTTTGCCCTTTTTTTTTTTCCCCACAAATACAGCTTTCTTTCGGTAGTATTTGATCACCTGTGCGTTTTTATTTTTTGCACTATAAACAAAAATAGGCCACCAATTTTGAACAAAAAAAAACAATTTTTGACTTTTTGCTATTAAACATGTCCAGTAAAAATTAAAAAAAAAATCAGATTTCATCATCAATTTAGGCCAAAATGTGTTCTGGTATACGTTTCCCAATATTGTAAATTAATTGGTTTATGTGAAAGTTATAGCGTCTACAAATGGCGGTATAGATACTGGAATTTTTTTTTTTGTATATTAGTAATGGTGGCGATCAGTGACTTAGACTGCAGCAGGCATTCTGACACGTGGGTGGGGGACTGACTAACTGCCATTGACATCCCAATGACATTAATACAGTGATCAGTGTTACAATCATGCCCACAGGGAGAGGTGCGGTTCTCCATTTTACCCCAAACTTCTACGTTTTGGTTTTGCTCTTATGCCATCACCTGGGGGGGGGGGGGGGGAGGTTTGGGGGAGTGTAGTATCGTGCATACAAGAGCCAGGTACGGCTCACTGTATTAAGAAGTCTTCATGTATCCCCTCATTCCCCCCTCCCTCTGGAATGCGATCAGCGTGTGATGCTGAGCCCCTGCCTAACAATCCTCTTGCCAAATAAGGTATTAGCTTGTCCATGGTAGGAAGATACCAGTTGATTTTGTGTAGAAAAAGAAGCTGTTCTGTTTTGTGTGTAGTCAGAGAACTAAGGACCGTCTGCGATATAACATCTAGCAGACAGAAAGGAGAATCTCACTGCAACCACGAAACCAAGTGTGAGACCTGAAATCCCTTTTTAGCTCATCAGGCTTGATCTGCTAACCCCAGGCATTTATTTGGGAAGTACTTATTTACCTAAACTTCTTTCTGTTATCTGTTTGCTGTGCTGTTGTGCTCTGTGTGTGTATGTGTATGTATGTATGTATGTGTATGTATATATATATATATATATATATATATATATACACACATTAGTTACATCTTCTTTCTGTAAATATTTTTACTGCACCCTTTTGGTAATAGATCTTACTTTCTAAAAGTGTTGAACTGTTTCCATAGCTCCTGAATGTAACTTACGAATCCCTGCCGCCGAAGAGCGCTACTATGAGTGTTTAACCCTCTGTATAACCAGTCTGTAGACATAGCAGTATACTGGCGGTTAACCAATCATCCTAGTGTATTGCTGAGTTTCCTCTTTCTCTGTATAAAAAGGAGGTGGGTGGCAGTGTGAAGGGTTAATTGTGTAATTAACCTGACCCAGTAACAATCGCATTCAGGCTGCTGGTACATCGATTGTGGTCCAATTAGCTGGAAAATCGGTGTGCAGGGTGCAGCTGGGTGTGGCATTGTTACGCACGTGACATCGCGGTTTTAGATTGGCTAGTC